AAAAAACGTTCAAAAAATCAAAAACTTGACTATTCCGAGGGCAATAACTTTTTTGCAAAAATTGATGATTGGCTAATAAAGTATCGGAGCTTCAATCCTCTCATTGCAGCAACAATCACATTTTTGGGAATTGTTTTTAAGATAATTCAAAAACTTTATAAAAAAAAGGTAAAGTATCAAAAAATTTCCGACATCCGACATCTTCTTCGACTTCTGAGTGTGAAACTTTTTGTGTAAAAAAAATGAGAGTAGTCAATAAAGCACGGTATCTTCCCACTAACCTTTATCGCCATTGAACTTTAAATAGGGAAGTTTTTACAATTCTCTCTATTAATTGAACAAGATTCTCAGATTTCCCAAGGTAGTTTTTGAGAAAACAAAAAAACCCAAAATATGGGTCAAACATACCTCTCACAGATGAAAATCTCATGCATTTTTGATGAAAATTCCATGCACTTTCTTTATACCTGACTTTATCACACGGTAATTCTAAATAAAACGGCCCAATAAGATATTATTATTTTAAATTAGCATCGGAACAAAACTACTTACGAAGCGGAAACAAAGTCGACCAGTTGAGCCAAAAAAAAGAAATTTTATAAACGTTTGAAAACTTTTGAAAAAATTTTCAAGCCCCTAAAACCACAGGGAACAAAACTTGCAACTGCAGTGACGCCTAAAAGCAGCACAAGGAAAACCCGTGATGTGGCACCTCAGACCGCAAAACTTGAGCAGACAAACGAAAATCAGACAATTCAACTATCAACGATTTTTTTTCAATTTTATGCATACTGAGAAAACAAAATTGCAGGGGTAATAAGCTTGAGCGAATGTCATTCAGTGAAATAATGATGCATGAAACACATACGGATTAAGGGTTTCTCTCAAGTGACAGAGGCACTTCGCATAGTGGCAAGGCGTTCACATCGTGATTGTCAGATTGTGTAATCAATCCCCTGCCATGATAGTGTATGAAGAGGAGCTCTCACTTTACCTCTATTTTCAGGTCAACCACAATTTGACCGAATACGGCTGCGATAGTGGTACCACATGAAAGTTCTAGACGCCAAAAAAAACTACCTTGAGTAGAAAAAAGAGGAGTGTTGCTCAACAAAATAACCCAGTCTGGAATGTAGAGAAATAAAAGAAACAGAATATACTTAGACAGGCTGCACGGCGTTTCGTATAACCTCTGTGAATCGCTGAAACGCCAATAATAATTATTATTCTCATCACAATGACAGAATTTTCATCAATATTTTTTATTTAAATTCTTACTTCATCAAACATCAAATTCCAAACAACTCTTCAAGCAATAAAAGACGGTGATTTTTTGAAAAACATCCGTTGGATACTTGAAAACACACCCTGAAGTTATCTTCTGGATCACTTATGATAGTTTTGACTAAAAATCTGATGTGAAAATAGAAACAACCAATTGACTAAATGACCATTAAGTAGATTGAGTTAATTTACCGTTATATCAAGTCTGCTCTGAATTCTATTTTGCGAGAAATTCACAAAGAATCAATCCTACATCCGCTACCTCTTAAATACATTGCAATGGTTTGAGTAGCGGTCGATGTACCATAGTCTAATAACAATTCTTGTACTTTTTTTAAACCGATTGCTTCGAACATCACTTCTTGTATGTACAGAAAGAGGAAGCTAAGATTGGCATCAGTTGCGATACAACGCAAGCGCAGCTTTGCAAACTAGTGAATAGGGCTAAGACTGGAATAAAATCAACATCAAAAAACAATATAATATCAGAAAAATAGTCAAAAATTATAACCAACAGCCTTGAATGTAAATTTAGTATTTACCGAGCGGCCAATGAGCCAAAAACAACTAGGTAGATGACCATTGAGTCGAAAACAAAAAAAACATAAAAATTAATGACAAAAAAATTTAAGCAATTAATATAAAATAGTGAATTTTGAATGCGATTGATTTTGCAGTACACTGTTTTTGCCTAAATTTTTTGTAGTTTTTGATTTACTGGCCTAAATATATATATTTGAAATATGAGCTAAGAGCGGGTGAAAATGTTCTATCTGTCATCAAAACTTCAAATTTTGCCAAAATAGGTTTTCGAGCTGTGCCATTAAATCAGAATGATGCGCGATATCGGATAGCATATGTTTTGTATTATACGAGAATTAAAAAGACTATCGGCGATGATTCAATTTTTAACACAGAGGCGAAGCTGATTTGCGCAATAATTGCGATGCAACAGGTATAAGATTAAAACAGCAAGAGACTCAAGAACTATCAAAGAGGACTTTGAAAATTGTTATTGTTGAAAAAAACTAGAAAATCGAAGTTTTACTGTATAAATTCAATAAAAAAAATTAATAGTTCTAAGTAGGGTTGAAATTTATCAATTAAAAATTTACAGTAGGGGCCAAGTTTTATCGATTGTATAGATAAAATCGGAAATTTGCAGGAAACAAAATTTAAGGTAAATAAGCCCACAAAAATGAAACCGCCAGTTATTCAGCTGAAAATCAACCTAAAATGATTGGCAATCTTGTTGGAAAAATCTATGTACTGCCCAAAGAGCATCCACAAAAGCCATACATGTTCTGCACACAAGGTGGTATACACGATTTGGAAACTACACTAAGAGCTCAATTGATAACATTAAAGCCGGAAAACCATCAGCAAAAAATTAATATGAAAGAAAAGCTTCAAAATTTATGCCTAGACAAAAGATTACAAAATAAGCATCAGGACAAAAACTTACCAAGCAGTTATTAAGCCGAAAAAACAAAAAGCCAAAACTCAAAAAATACTTAACTATAAAAAAAACTCAAGTCCTTTTCCACGCAGAAAACACACGCACACAAGAACTATTTACGGTCATCTAAAGAAGCAGTAAGTCGATATAAACTGAGCGCCAAAACCAAAATTTTTTTTTAAATTGAAAAAAGGAAAAGGATTATTAACGAATTGAGTTGATAAAAATACAATCCATGTAGATTTGTTAAATTTCGATTCTGCCGCATTCTTAAAATGCTGATACACTAAAAGCAACTAAAACGAAAGTTGTACAGCAAAAAAATTTCTTAGATTCGGCAACTGAACCGACAACTCATGAGCAGACAAATATACCAAAAATTTTATTCAAAACAACACTTTTTTGTTTGAAAAGAAAATTCTCCTGGTGAATTCGGGACTTTGCCCTCCCATTTGTAATCAGTACCTCCAGGCTATGTGTGCAGGCGGCACTGGGAAATTTGAATTCAATATGAAGCAAGGTACCACCAGGAGTCCAGATGCGTCCTGTAAATTAAATTACAGTAACAAATCTAGTACCTGATTGCAACACCCTGGTTTATCGCAAGGGTGAAAACTGGAATTGAAAGAGAGACTTGACATTTTCCCATTTCGCAAAAATTGAAAGTGAAGGAAAAACAATTCCTTTTTCTCCAAAACGAACATGACGGAGAATAGTAGACAACTTGAGAAAAAAACAGAACGGCAAAACAAGGAATTATTTCAGCGGACTTGAGTAGCTTTCTGAGAAAAAAAGACTGTCCAAATACAATCTTTATTGTTTCAATTGTGCGGAATGAGAGGGTTATGGTGTTTCGAGATAACGGAGACTTTCAGCAAGGGTCTACCAATGTTTTTCGACTATATAACGTTTTAGCTCGGCGTGAATGTCCTGGACTCAATTCAACAAGCTCAATTGTTATTTACAGGCTATGAATAGCTATGATATAATGAAAGGGTAGATCCATCTCCGGTGGATATAATATATATCTGCTAAATAAAAATGTACACAGACCCGAAGCTCAGCTTCGTACAACTTGCGATACAACAAGTATAAGATCAAAACAGCAGGACACTCAAGAACTATTAAAGAGGACTTCAAAAGTTGTAACCCTAGAAAAAACAAAAAGAAAAAAATGTTTAAAAATGAAAATCGATCAAAAATCTTTCATATGGATTAAAATTTAAGCATACAAAAATTTAAATTTGGAGCCAAATTCCATAAATGATATTAGAAATTTGTAGGAAACAAAACATTGGGTAAATCATTGGGAACTGTTCGGCAAAATCTTATTGAAAAATATGCATGTAATACCCAAATATTATCCACGAAAGGCATAAAATTACTGAAATCAAGGCTGTATTCACAATTCGGAAACTAAACCGAGAGCTAAAAAATCATCAGCAAAAAAGTAATATCGATGTTTTAAAACTATACATACAACCAATCTATCAAAATAAACGAAAATAATTTAGAAAAATGCGAAGACAATAGAATGCATTACTAGCATCGGAAAAAAAATAACCAAGCCGTAACAAAACAGAAAAAACCTCAGCAGAAGCCCTTCATGCTCTCGATTTTCAAAATGCTAAGGCACTAAGCAACTTCAGTGAACTTTGATTGCACAAAAAATAAACAATTCTTAGATCTGAAAACTAAGTCGACAAAACATAAGCGGATAAATAATAGACCCGAAATTTTTTAACCGGAATTTTTACCGCTTGAAAAAAAATTATGTCCTGGTCAGATTCGAACCAGGACCTTTGACTTCTCAGTCCTATTCGTTACCTCCAGGCTAAAAAAGCAGGAAACAAAGAACACTGAATTCGTTAAGCACCAAGGTAGCACCAGGAGTCAATGAGTCCAGTGGACAAAATTGTTCACGGGAAAAAAGTCTAGTACCCGATTGCAATACCCTTACTCATCGCAAGGGTAATCAATAACGATGTATTAGCTCTGTTTCTAGCGCTGACCGTGTGGTCCGGCGACAGTGTGACCCACCAATATCCCATTTACGAAAGACTATAATGAATTTGCTTTAAGTAGAGACGTTTAAAAGCACATGGAATCTAATTTTGACGCTAGCCAAGGCTGCAAACGGCAGAAAAATACACTCAACCAAACTGAGTGTTCGCTCACAAAAAGATGGCACCATTTTTAAAGCCCCTGCTTAAACGGATGCACTCTTATGCACCATAAAACAAGTGTAGAAAGAAAACAAAACTAATAAACTTTACTTGAAATATATTATCATTTTCAAATAGATCTAACTAACAATGAACTCTAGCAGACTTTTACTTTGGCCAGATTTACAATACATACAAATCAATCTCCACACATCGCTCACAGAGTAAGGTTTTTTGAGAAATGAGTCCACAATCTTAGACAAGTTCTGAGCCAGTTTTGTATCATTGAACGTCAAATATAGCATGTCTCTTCCAGCGTGGGAAGCTGCCATCCATTGAATTAGAAATTTAAGCACCACATTTCCCCCAAAAGCACCACATCCCCAGTTTCCAGTCGCCACAGCTGTGAGATTTTTGGTTGATTGCGTCGAATCAGTGATATGTGGATCCCTGAACCCAACGTATGCCTTGTTCAACTCTCTCAGAATCTTCTGCAGTTTGAACTGTTCTTCTTTGGCGTGGTTGGATCTGAATGCTGTGGCGTCTATTGCTACAACTGTGTTCAGTTTCCTTCCTATACAGTCCACTGGAGTAGTGTCCACGCAATCTGCGAGGTACTTGAAGGAGTCCGCATAGCCAACATACTCACAATACCTTCCAGCACCTGCAAAACGAATATTCTATTTGTTTCGCTCATTTCAAGTATAAAATTTTAGAAAATGAGGCAATGTCCAAACGAAACAATAAACATATCTACCCTTGCGAATTTTTTTCCTTGATTACCTACTGGGCTCGGGAAAATTTCCTTGTCCTTAACCAACAAGCACATGAACTAGACATAAAAAATAGTCATTCGTACTCACTATGCTAATAATTATTTTATTCTATGGCTTTTCAGTCAGAAAAGATTAACGAAAATATAATCTTTTTAAAATACATCTAAATTAAGCAGGCGGAAAGTGCGAGAAAGACATGCTTATGATAAACTTAAGTATATTATCAGAGTTCGAATAAGAAGGGGCGCCATGCAAGCTGAGGCAAGGCAAGGCAAGGAAATTAACCTTGAACGATGAGACATTCGTTGTCCAGTAGTCGCGGAGTGAACAGACGACTGACCAGCAGCTCTGGATGAGTGACATATCTAATCTCCTCCTGCACACACCCCTGTCCCACTACCCCTCCCCCCACAAACTCATTGGCAAAATCCACTTGCAACATCCCACTCTGCTTCTCAATTAGTCCTTTCGATTTCACAGCACACCTAGTGGCACAATTGCGATGGATGGGTCCCTTTAAAACCAGAAACTGAAAGGGCAATGAACACGCGACCGCAAAGAGAAAGTAAACATCCGACTGCTCCTATCCAAGTAAAAAAAAGGAAAGATCCCGATCACAGATTAATAGTATTAATTGGAGAAAACCCTCAAAAAAAGCGGGGGGAAAGCGTTTTAATGAAATTTAAATCCAAATCACTTCTGAGAAGCGATTATAACTCATATCAAAATCGACCGGAAAAGGACCAATCTATGATCCCATAACGGAGAGAAATTTCTTTTACCCCCTGTTTAATCTTGGTTAATAGTGACAGGATAAATTACACAGAGGCGAAGTTGCACTTGGCATACACACGCAAAAATATGACAGATAACGCATCTGTGAAAAACTGAATGAGTAAAACTTTCAGTATAAAAAATTTCTTAAGTGACGCATTAGCAGTACCAGTCAATTTGAAAAAAAAAGACATTTACCAACTAACATGCCTCAATTTATAGAGCAGTCTATGGAGCAGTAATAACATGAAAAAACTAAATGTAACAAAACAAAATAATTTTTGAGTTCCGACTTTCGATGCGAAAGTAACGGAATATTTGTGCTCGGGGTGGGTTTTTTCTTCAGAAAAATTTCGACTTTTTAACCAGACATTTTTGACGGAATTTTTTATATCATTCAAAAAGTTTTGTTGTCCCATATGGGACAATTAACGCGCGATATAATTCGCGCTATTAACGCTTAAGGGAAGATTTAATCCGTCTGAGAAATTGTTCCAAATTAGTTGAAAGAAAGTTATTTACCATAATTGATTTGTTACAATGAGCGAAATCGATTCTTTTGTACTTTAAATGGCGTGTGGGGGGGGGGGTGATTTCATAAAAATATCAAATTTTAGAAAAAAAATTTTTCATTTTATTTTATTACATTTAACTTTTTTCTGTTACTAATGCTCCATAAACCTTAAAAGGCAGTCGGAACATTCAGGGCTTCTGATACGAACATTCAGGGCTCCTGATACGAGCAGTCTTGTTTTTTTTTTTAATTTGAGATTTTTTGTGAAAATCATCCCCCCACACGCCATGTAAGGTACAAAGTGATAATTTTCGCTCCTAGTAACACATCAAATATGGCAAAAAAGCTTCCTTCAAGCAATTCGGAACGATTTCTATGACGGATTAAATCTCCGCTTACTCGTTAACAGCGCGAAATATATTGCGCGTTCATTTCCCAAATTGGCCAAAATGGCAATTTTTAAACCCCCATAACTTCACGAAAAATGATCACAGATGAAATATCTTTCCAAATTTAAGCTCAGGGCAACAACAAGTTTTGAATGATATAAAAAAATCCCGTCAAAAATGGCTAGCTAAAAAGTCGAAGTTTGTCTGAAGAAAAACCACCAGGAGCACAAATATTCCGTTACTTTCGTTACGACAGTCGGAAATACTCCGTTAGTTTAGTACAACAATAATAGTTTGTATTAAAATCCTTAGCATTTGCTGTACTTAATAGCTGGTTATTGATTAAAATGAACACGTTCAAATTGAACACATTTTATCGCAACAATATTTGCGACTTAGGTTGGAAAAAAAGATAGTTCATTCTATAACACAAGCATTGCTTGGTTGGTAATCAAGTGTGCCCATGCAACACAATTGTACCAACTTAGTCAGTTTAGTGTCAATTTTCTCCCATTGAGGCCTCACTTCGTCCAAATCCAAACATCTTCTGTGGAATGAAACAGTCTGTGATGGAGAAGTGCCCTCGTCGCTTTCTGGATCTGTCACTCGGTCGAAGTAGCTCAGAATGCACTTCAGCTTCTCAAAGTTACTGTTTTGACGCTCCTTTGTTCTGAAACACAATTAATCATTTCCACCCATCTATCCCATGACTCGAAATGAATACCTGCGAATGCTGCAGAATGTAGGATATACCACAAAATGGCAACTATTTTTCTACAGTTTTTTAATTTGATCCAGTGCGTTTTCACTCTTGCTTTGAATCAGCCCAACCAGCAAAAGTTGTAAGCATTGAACTGAAATATAGATACCAAAAACAATGTAATAGCATTATATACTGAAGTTGAAATAATCAATGATTCTAGCCTTGCGGTGAAAAGTGTCCTCAAGTTTTGACCCCTGGGCAATTCCCCGTTGAAGTCTTGCTCTGGAAAGGTATTAAAGAACAAATTCGCAATTAAGCACGCTATCTGTCTCTTTGACATCGTCAGTGACATGTTGGAGTTCTGTTGCAGCCACGGAATTGGTTGTGTAATTAGAAGAGGCAGCTCTAAAGTCAGTTTCTGTAGTCTAGGCAATGTCACTGAGAAGAACTTAGCCTTGACTTCGTGATGGAGGTGCTGATTGAAGAACGTCCGCATTCCCTTCCCGTGACCATCGTAGAACCCTGGTGTGTATCTGTCTATAGCTGATATGACGTCCTCCACAGTGTACATTTGCTCAGACAACTGCTCCTGAAAACTTGAAGATTTCCTTCTTGCAACCAGTCGGATGCGAATTTAGTGTTCATGTCCTTTAATTCTTCCGAATTTCTTACTAGTTGTCTGAAAAACCTTATCCTTATCTTGGTGGTTTTCGCAAGAATTATTTCAAGGGTATTAAAGCAAGAATTATATCTGTATCAAAATAGCAACCCTTACGTACTGCAAAATAAAGATATCAGCCCTTGATTTTTGCGAAAATAACAAAGGTAAGGACAAGGTTTTTCAGAGAATTAGAAAGAAATTCGGAGGACTAAAGGACATTACGTTCGGATTACTTTCATAAACAGCTTTAAAAACAATTGGAAACCATTCACCGAGCGACAACAAAGCCAACAAGTTTTGGGTAGAAACGCGTTAAGACGAAAACAAAACTGTTGTCATAAAAAATTTAATGAAATTTTGAAGTTTTTACGACCCATCCAATCTAAAACACATAATCGCGTGCGAATATATTTGCCATCAAAAGTACGCAATATAAAATGACTAAGCCGAAATAATAAACTATTTAAATATTTAAAAAATAATAAAATGAAAACAAGGATAGCCGGTTACTGCGCAAGTACCACAGAACGTTCCGACCACTCTTAAAAAAATACAAAAATGTTTTTTCAAATTGGTTTCGTTTTTTTTCTGCATGTTATGATAAAAACATCTGAACAAAATAATAAAAATTAGGCATATTTGAGAGTGGCTAGAGAAACAAAAAAATATTGCGGAAGCTTTTTGAATTTCAAGTTTATTATTCCCAAAATTGCGCTAAAAAGCTCCAAAAACAACCTTTACTTGAGTAAAACTAAGTCTTCACGGCTTAAATTAAGCTTCAACAAGCTATTTCAATTACTAACTACCTTACTAATTAGTTCAAAATTAGACAAAAAATAAAAAATTTCAAACCGGTTTTTCTCGACACTGAGAAAATTTTTTGATTTCTTTTAATGTCGTTCAAATCACGACTGAAAGGGCTTTAAAATGATATATCACTCAGCCCTGTCCGATGATTATTTGTGGTAGCTGATTTTGCGTGGAAAACAAAAAGTTGAATAAAAAACTAAAACAACCGAATACAAAGTTCCTCCCCATTTTCAATGGTCGGAACAAAAAAACGCAAAATCAGACTTGATAAAATTACTTGGTAAAAAAACTGTTTAAATTAGAATAAAACACATGCTTTAAAAAGAAGGGAAATAAAAACCCACCCTACCAGATAACAAAAATACGCGTTTAAAAAGAAAACAAAAACGAACCGACAGAAACTAGGACGGAAACACTAATCCAAAAAAAACTTGAAAAATTAATTACAACCTGAAACCGTCTTCACCTAAGTACTACTTTAATAATGGTACTTTTATTTGAATTTCAAGAATTTGAGCATGTCGGAAGTGATATTTTCCATTCCTACTCAAATGACTATTCTGTGAACAAAGCAAAGTCATTTACGGGAAAAAAGTCTAGTACCGATTGCAATACCCTTGCTTATCGCAAGTGTAAATATACATAATAAAAATTTGAAATGACTTACTTTGACCACCTCCCAGTGACTCGTTTTGGACAGACGAGTAGTTGGACGAGAGTTCCCACTCGGATTCAGGATTCTCAACTGGCACTTGGAAGCACAAGGAACCCTGATATGACCTGGCAGCCATTTGTCCACGAAGCTCTTCGGGTACGGTACGGCAATACCCTGCGCTAACGCGTCCAAGTCTAGCAGCAGCTTATGCAACTGTTTATTTGAGAAGTCTCTGGGAGATTCCTCTTCACATTTAAAAAGTGAATCAATTGGGCAGCCGCCGCTGAAACTGTTTGAGCTGTTCACGGATGATTGTGCGACTTCTGTCGAATTCGAATATGTCGCATTGATTTTCTCTGTTTCGGTATCTTTCTCTGAAGTTAACGGGTCACCATTATCCTGCTGCTGAATTTCGTCAGAATTATCAATTGCTAAATCTATAGTTTCCTGGTACAGCTCTCCTTTTTGTATCGCTTGCTCAATCGGTGTCACTGTCGTCGTTGCTGGGATTTCAGTTTCGCCTTCTGAGTCTTCGCTGGCTTCACTGCTCTTCGTTTCAACTTCTTCAGGATCGGTTTTTGCCTCGTTTTCTTCCTCCGAAAGGCGGCTGATCTCCGAGGCCTGATGCTCATTGTCTTTCGAACTCATGACATTTAATACTTTGCTCGTGGAGCAGTAGTCAGTTGAATTATCACAGATTTCAGCATTGGGGGATTTTCGCTTTTTCGATTTCGGTATAGGTTTATAGAAGTCTGCAAGTGATTTCTGCATGGATCTTAAGCTCAGAAATAAAACAACATAAATCAATGGCGTCCTGTACGTTCCACTTCTGGCAAATTATAGAGAAAAAATATAGTTCTCGATTACAAGACACTTGCGCTCGGAAGTGTAATAAACTAAGTTAAGTTTTTAAGAAATTCTATTGATCGTATGAAAAAGAAGTCTTCAGAAAAAAAATTATGTCGAAAACCAAGGAGCCGAAAAAATGAAGGAACTGACACCTAGTTAGAACCTGAAAACAGTACCGTTTACGGTCCACAGATCTTCGTGATTTCAAGCAGCAGGCGCATTACTTAAACACTCAGTTGGCTAGTTAACCAAACATATTGACGTGACAAAATTAAACATCACCAATAGACCGTTGGAAAAAAGTCAAGGAACGCAAAAAAAGACAAAAACAATTATGACTTGTTCTGAAAAAAAAATCATCATTTGAGATCCAAAAAAATATATTCCCTTAAATCTCTTCAAATTTTAGGATTAATTTATAATGACACATTTTTTAATAAACCAAATTTGTTAAAACTGGACCGATAGGTAACTTTTTATTCCTCTGGATCTAAAAGTTAAAATACGCTTTTGAAACTAGACGTCGTTCACGTTTTCCATGCCCTTTACACTGAAGCTGTTTGATAGTTGAGTTTGCTTTCCTTTTAGAAAAAAACTAACTGAACTTACAAAGAAAACAAGACTGCTCGTATCAGGGCAAAGCACTGAATGTTCCGACTGCCTATTTAGGTTTATGGAGCAGTAATAAGGAAATTTTTTTTTCTCGAAAATTTGAAATTTTTTATGAAAATCATCCCCCCACACGCCATATAAAGTACAAAAGGATAGATTTTGCTACTTGTAACAAATCATTTATGGCAAATAAGCTTCGTCAAACCAATTTGGAACGATTTCTAAGACGGATTAAATCTCGCTTACGCGTTAATAGCGCGAAATATATCGCGCGTTAATTGTCCCAAATTGGCCGAAATGGCAACCTTCAAACCCCCATAACTTTACGAAAAATGATCACAGGTGAAATATCTTTTCAAATTTGAGCTCAGGACAACAATACCTTTTGAATGATATAAAAAAATTCCGTCAAAAATGGTTAGTTAAAAAGTCGAAATTTGTCTGGAGAAAAAAAACCCACCCCGAGCACAAATATTCCGTTACTTTCGTATCGAAAGTCGAAACAAAAACCACACTGAGAAAAATCTAAATTTAGCGTGAACAAAGACTTTTTCTAAAAAAAAAAACAAATTCATCATGACCTATATAAGTCTTCACTACGTTCTTCGATTCTTATAGATGATATTAGATGAGATTTATATTCAATTTGAATCCGCGAAATTTGTTTTAGAAAAACTCAAGCTTCCTACTTCAGGACTGAATTGTTTAAACTTTCGCTCACGAATTTTCTGCTATTTGATACAGGAACAAGATGATACATGCATCGCAATTTTTAAAAGCTCTCATTTTCTCATTGTAGGAAACTTCTTGCCGCCTAGGTTTGAAAAGTTATTTATTTGTACAGACGTGAATTTTTTATTAAAAAATTAGAGTGATAATTAGAAAAGAAGAAATATTGAGAAATGGAGATTTTCAAATACTGAAATATCAAATTCGATCATGAAAAGACATAATAACAATCGTAGAAACTGAAATATTTACCATTTGCGGACCATACAATATAACTAGTCATCAGTCACGCCTAGACTGAACGAGAGATATCAAGAGGTAATTAATACTATACTTTAACAAACACTACATTACTAATCTGACTGTTTAGAACGAGGAGAGGAAAAGAAACTAAAAAGTTCGAAGACTAAAAATGCCATCAATGCAAATGGTTGTTATTTATGAGTTATTTAGTTTCATTGAATACCCACACCCTTAACCCACTCATTCATAGCATTAAAGTCCTCTTAAAATTTTCCGAAAAAGAGCACCGATGTCTAAAATCTCACAACTAGATCTAAAATAGTTAAGAAAATTTCCGCGATAATCATATTTGCAAGTTTTAAATCACTGCCAACTTTTGAATGGATTTAAAATTTGGGATCAGTTTGAATTCAGATTAAAATTATTTGCTGGGTGAAATTTAAAATTTAACTAATTTTATGAAGCACCAAGACTTATGAGGAATACACTTACAATTTTTTCAATTTTCACTTTTCACAATCTCGAATTAGTTTTGTAATCAAATTTTGCACCACAAGAACAAAATGATCAAAAAAGCTTGAAGATCCCACTAACTTTTGAACAAAATACCCAACGCACGATATTAAGAGAGAAAGAGTAATTTTCCATTAGCGAAAATTATTCGCAACTTCATTGGTTGCGTATGGAACATTTACAGCATTTAGGATAATTTGTAACTATATTTAAATTTTAATATTTTCTAAATTTGTATTCAGCATTGATAAGATAAACGACATCAGCACTTGATAAAATTTCAGAAAGATTCTCAGATTATTTTTATTTAAGAAATGATAATTAGCATAGAAGCAAATTGGCAAAAAATAAAGGTAAACTACAAAGAAAAGCAAAGGTTATCTATTGAAGAAGGTGGAACGCTTGCTTCATTGGAGTCGAACAGAAGAAAAAGCTCCCGCGGATGCCGATTTAGGTCGGTTTGTTTTGTCCTTAGGTGTCAAGCTAGGTACTGCTTTAGGCATGTTGGAATCTGAAGGTATTCAACGTGATGCTGAATGAACTGCGAATCACTGTTACATCCGGGAGGTAGTAGCTGGAACGGAATCGCATCCACATGACAAGATGCGAGTGTTGACAACTGCTGCTGAAAAAGCAAGTTCGGATCCTTCGAGGGACCGCAAGAGGGTCCCACGTTTCCATTGTTCATCTCGGTCATCGTTTCTGATGATGACGACGATGCCGAGCTCTGCGACTTTAGGCACTGTTGTGTAAAGGTCATGACTTCTGTCGGAGTCGGCAAACCTTTGATGAATGCTTCTGGAATGACTGTAGTCGTCAACTCCGAGACAGGCAGAGGGTTACTCGCAGAGGCAGAAGATTGACGATTCCACCAGGGCCCCGTCGGTTCTATATGGCGACTGGATCCATTAGCCGGAGTGGAGTTCGAGTTGTTTTGGGAGTTGGATAGTTGTCTGGGTAGAAAAGTGTTTGTGATTTGAGTGAAAAAAGAAGAACACCCATTGGATGCTGTGGACGGCGGTGGTGGCATTGCTGTGGAGTTATTTGGGTTGAGCACTGATACAATCGCAGGGTTAGGCATGAAACAGCAGTTCCCGTTGTTATTGCTGTTCACTTCTGCCATTTGGTTGGAGCTGTCGTTATGACATGAACCCATAGACAACTTCAGCTGTTGGAACATTTGTCGCATACTGCGTCTGATCTCGTATCTGGCCATTGATTGCAAAGTCATTTCTAAAGCAAAGCCAAAAATATAATTAACAAAAAAATAGTAATTTAATTTTTTCTTTTTCACATTTCGTAAGCATTTCAAATTTCGTTAGCCTAAAAGCAGTGATTTATGTAAAACGCTCATTAGCCCACATTTCGCTTTCTGTATTATATGCATTTAGATGTCAAATGTTGGAGTTGAAAGCCACACGCGCGTGATTCATGACTTCATTGGATCAAATATTTAGAGCGACTACAAGGTGTTATTTAGTCTGATCTGAGACTATAAAGCAGTTGTGGTGACAAATGCCTCTTCTCTTTGGTTTACTATTTGAACTTGCTCTATTAATAAATTACAAGCTTAGTCATCATCCATCCAGTCTGACCCCTTCAGCCTCACATCACATTGTTTAATTCTCCTCCATCTGCTCATGTTATGACTAAAATTAATCCTTTGTCTGCTGAAATGAACTGATGCATTTGGAGGAATTGAAAAAAGAGTTGTTCGCATAGAGTACATTCAGTCATAAATTCCGTCGATGACTATGACTTTTTTCGCTCTTTTTCACTTCAGACGATTTATTGGAGAATAACATCGCAGTCTCACTGCTCCGTTACTTCTTATACGACTAAAATGTTCTCTCTAAAGAGAAACGGAAAATTTTTCTTAATAAAATTGTGCTCCTTTAGTAGCGATATGCTAGCTCGTTAGAGGCAGGATATATTTAAAAACACTGTTCAACTCTATACTCTATGTGCGGAGAAAAAAGCGCATTATTTGAACTAGAATGTGGACTATTCATTTTTGCTTCAACAACGAAAAACGCTCAGCAGCCGCCGCTTGTTTGGCATTGGCATCTGTTTCTTCTATCACATTTTCACAATTTATTGTTGTTTGTTAGTCATCTTATTCTCATTGAGACTATGTTTGTCATTCATGAAAGAAAACGTGAATTTTCGAGCTCTGAGTCACAGGCATTAGAACCGATCAAGCTGTTTTTAAAAGCAAACTGCAGCTAATATGCTTAGAATGAATGTACATAATGCGAGTGAAGTTTCTAAGGCTCAGTAAAAATTACTTCAGCCTTCCGTTCCTGCAGTTACTTTTGGTAGATACAACTATTCAGCTCATAACAGAAATTTTAAATTTGAGACTAACAAAAAGTTGGACACTAGATGGGTTTTTCTTAAAGTGGCACAGAATATTTAGCCCACAATTATCATAGCAAAAAAATCAGAAAGTTTTTTTTTCTTCAAATTGTGTCATTTTTTGAGAAGAGCTGAAAAAAGACTACAACTTAGGCATATTCGATAGAAACATTAAATTCGGTTCATTCGACAAATTTTTTTTTAAAAATTGGAAAAAATTTTTTTTTAAATTGTAGAAAAACTTACACAATTTTTGACAATTAATTATGAAAAAAAAATGATTGCAGGACCTCATTTGAATTATAATCCTAGCTTGTTCGGTCGCTTTTTTCAATCGAAATTAAAAATGAAAAAATTCAAACCGGTTTTTCTTAACACCGACAATTTTTTAATTTGTCGTTCAAATCACGACTGAAAGTGCTTTAATATAAATCACTCGACTCGGCCCATTCCAATGATTATTTGGGATACCTGATTTTGAGTGGCAAAAAAAGCTCGAAACACTAGAACGCGCATGAAGACGGTTCAACGCACATGAAGACAAAGTTCCTCCCCACTTTCAATGGTCGGAATATGATGCATTTTTCTCATACTTTCAAAATTATGTTCTGAATTTTTTGGTTTGAGGAATATATTAAAATCTAACTTGAAGAATTAGGCATTATTGAGTAAAATCAGATTGCATTACGACTGAAATATTATAATAGATTCGCTTTCCTTCGCCTTTTCTCTGAGGTAGCTGACAACAGAGCGTTTAGAACCCACCCCCAAGCCATAGTTCCTTCTGTCCCCTAAGGAGAACTCGGAACGACACAAAATAAGTCTAGGTACAGGTCTGGCAATAACAGTACTTGAAATAGTGCAGATGGATCAACTTCGAGCGGAATGTGAGCTATTCGAAAAATTAGACATGTAAGCAGATGAGAACTAAGATACGAGTACGAACCTTGTGGTGCATGTATGTATGACATCTCCACTTCACAGTGTCCCCAAACCGCACTCACGATAGGGTACAGTGGTTTGTTGGCTTGATTCAACCCGGAGAAGGCCACCCCCAGGTACTGACCATCAACCATGTACGCCAGGGTTCCCTCGTCCATGTCCAAAATCACAGTTATCTTCTCCGGTACTACCAGAACCTCGTCCTTGTCCAAAATTGTAGACGGATACGGACTCGGAGGGCTATTGGTGTAGTCGTGCATCAATTTGCTTCTTCCTATATCCCAACCCCATGATTCGGTATTACTTCCAATCAGTGACTTGTAGCCCGAACAATGAAGTGGTGCATCCTTAGTTGCGACTCCGATTACGGCGTGAGTTCCCCTTTGATTTGAGGGCCATTTGATGTGCCAGACATGCAAGCCAGAAGAGAAGCCAATCTTGCCTCTGATACAGTCTGTACTTTGGGCGACGGGATACCTTCTGAACACCAAGGAGTTTGTGTGAGGCAATAGCACTATGTTCAGAGATTTGTCCTGATCGTTCCATGAATGTTTCAGCTGCTGCTCGTGAGGTATTGGCGTCTGGTCTAATTGCACTCTCAGTTTGTAAGGCAGCTCAAATTCTTTCTTCTGAATTTCGATCCATGGAATCACAGACACCACACTAGAGTCTTTGGTCCTGTTCTTCCTGAGTCGGCTTTGTGGAGGTGGCAAGCGAGACCCCCTTTCCCACGCCTGTCTTTTGCGCGAGGGAGGTTCCCAGCCTGGCGTACCTATACGATTTACAGGATCTCTAGGATCCGGGTACGGATAGAAAGGGGAATCAAAATACTTGGAAAGTATGCTATCGATAGTTGCTGCAGCATCATGATTGGCTGGTGTAGTTGTAGGTTGCGAAAGCTGCCGTCTTCGCATCTTTGTCGGGTTTGCGTCATTATCGTGGTTGTTACTGTTTGAACTGGATCCAGGGTTGGTCGAGGACCCAGACGCCTCCGATCCGTTCGAGAAAGTCGGCGGACTGCTTTTCCGCTTCGTTCCACTTACACTCATCCGTGCAGACGAACTTCGTGACCTTCTGACGGATGAAACAATTTGCTTCAGACGTGCAAACGCCGGTGCGATATTGGACACAACTAGTCCAGTGGGCAAACTGCGTCGGAAAGACTGGCGGCCTGTGGTCTTTGAATCCAGTGATAATTTTGCCTCTGCACCACTGCTGCCTCTATATTGCTGGGTCTTAACGGGCGAATCGTTCTGATTGCGGCTCAGATGTCTGTCTTGTCTATTTCTACTCTGCTGTGCAATTTGCCGCGGAGATGGTATACACTCAGTTGTGTAGTCCTCGCTGGTTGGAGTATTCTCTTCACTTTCTCTATTCACTGGGGTAGAGGGTATTTCCTCCAAACTGGACAAGGATTCGGTCGAGAGGGAATTAGACTTTGGGTATTGGTTCACTGTAAATCTAGTGTAAACGACCGAAAGCGGGCTGGGGTTAGAGTAGGAATTGCTAGCTGGCAACTCCTCTTCCTCGTAGAATGGAATACCGCTTCCTCCTTTCTGGTACTCTAAGTCTCCCCCCTCTTCCGTACTTTGTACTACTGTTATGGGTTCGACGCCTTCCACGTATCTCAGCGAGAAAGGGTTTATGGTATGAACGGCTTTCGTGATATTGTAACTGCTGCTCGTTTGACAAATGTTTGCTCGGTTGTAGCTGGTGCTGCTGCTTTTCGTTTTCGGAATTGGGATGGGCTGTGTGCTGGATGAACTTGGGCTCCGTCTCAAAATTGAGCTTTTGGGGATGATTTCGTTCGTCTTTCTGTAGGACGGGGAGGGTGCTTTTTTGGATTTATGGGTGATGAGTGGTTTTTGCTCTGCTTGATGTGAGGAGGACACTTGAGATTCTGCCCGTGAGTATGAGGACGACGCGCTAGAGTCAAGATAACTCCTCGATGAGCTCCACAGATTCTGAAAAACAAACTACACCTCAAACCCTATCTTTAAACATTACAAACAGCAATCAAAAGACAAACAAGTCGAATCTAATCTATATTTGATCAAAATATTAGTTTCAGGATATCAGTGCACAAACTACCTTTCAACTTTGGCCCGAGAATTTTGCAAAAAATCTGGAGGGAAAACTTCCGGATTAAAATAAAGAGCTCGTTGGGATTATGAAAAAATACAAACCTGAATTTTCATTTAACAAAGTAGTTGTTGCGTGCGACTGAAATGGTTCAGTCTGAGTAAATATAATAACAAGATATGTGTGAGGGTTTGTTTTGAAGTTTCTGAATGTTGTACTATAAGAAGTAGACTTGACTTATTAAATCAACTACATTATCTGAATGATCAAACTCGAATGAGTGTGTGATAAGAAATCTTTTTGGAAAGACTCGGAAGCTACACTGGTACAATATGGCAGTGTCGCCTCAATAATCAAACGCTAATTAGCTCACAAGTAATTAGTTAGGAAGATAATAAGTACCAAACTAGCTAATGCGCTATTTGCCAACAGCATTAATTCTACGAATGGGAATGGACGAGATTTGCAAATTGACGCTTGGGCGGGTGCCAATTATCAATTAGATTTCATACCAGTCCAAAGATCAAATACGATAAATCTTGGTACTACTAAGTAACTCCTGCTTTGGCAATGGTTCAACCAACTTAACTAAAGTGGTGAATGTTTAAACTAAGGCGAACCGAATTAACTAGAAAGAATATCTAGTTCAGGAGAATTTGTGTCTTTGATTGGACGTGAGAATCGAGTACACACAAAGAAAGCTATCGGACAGAAGCCCAAAATAAGAAGGGGTGATCGAAATTTCCTCAATGAAGGGACCGATTGAATGACTGAATTGAGTTGCTAAGTATTTTTCCCTATGCGGGGAGGGGAGGGGAGCGGCCTAGGCTTCTAGAGCTACTGCCTCAATATAGCGGTAAGGAAGAAGAGAACGGAATGGAATATTGGCGTCGACTGAATGCCCGAGGTCTCTTCTCTTCTCTTCTTTTTCGTTATTTCGGCATGCACTTTCAGTGAGCGAATCACAGGCAACTGAGGAAAGAGGGAAAAGAAAGGAAACCAGAAAATAAGTGAACTAAAAAGATAGAGCGTGCAAGTATAGAAAAAACAGCAACACGCCAACGCTGTTCTACTTCTATTGCAGAATATAAGGCAAGTAAGTGAAGTTAAGTTGCACTGAGCAAAACACGGCGAACTGTTTCACACGTGGTCGGATATAATTCCTTCTAGCCTCAGAACTCAATACTGCTCTTGCTTGTGAATTATGAATATGCACTGAGCGGAGGGGAACAGTGGTAGAAGGGAATACTTAGGAATGGGGCAATGGAATGAATGAACACTGCACTGCTCGCTTGTCTTTCCATCCACTTTCAGGTCGTATTCGGTCGGTGGGACGAATGGTGGTTGGAATGGAGGGATTATTGGGAGCGAGCGTTGAATGTGTAATTAGAAGGGAATAGGAAATAGAAATGATTCACCAGCAACACCACAAATTTATGCATTCAGTGTGTGTGTGTGTGTGTGTGTGTCACTCTGCCGACCGACCAAGAAACAAATGTGCTCTATGCTGGGAATCTAGTCTGTGTTAGACCACGTTTGCTGTGAATAAATTCAGTCGTATCTCAGACTCCGTTCAACATGCAGAACTAGTACACCAAGCTATTGTAGCATTTATTATGCAGATTTACAATGGTGTTTCATTCGACTAGCACAGTTGTGCACAAGTCTAACACGTAGGCCTGAGCGTAGCTAGTAGCTGTGAGCGTTCATTGAGAACGAATCACGTTCAGAACAGAACCATAATACTTGCAAATGTTGTATAGAAGTGGTACATTCATTATTTACATGCAGGGGATCCGAAGCAAACTATGCAGAGACGCATAGTCATTCATTCATTTATTACATGGCAAACAATCACTAATGCAACAAACGCATACGCTTCCAATCACGTTCTAAATTTCACCAGTGGTAAGATCAGAACTAAAAGGTATGTTTCTGAGACTGACTAAGCACCGAAAGAAACGAACACCTCTCACGCAAGCAAACAGAGATCAGAACGCTAAAGTGAAGACTCGTCAACTCAACTGCTGCTTATGAGTAACTAGCTCGAATCATGGTAGTACAGCAGGTTCTATCTTGTTCAATACATTGCAATCCAGTCATGATGCAACTTTTTTCCGGAGCTCGTCAAACATTTTTTCAACAGATCGAATACTAATTTATATTCTGTGTAGTTCAGAACACAAATATTCTGAATACTAACAATCTGAGTACTAAAATTATCAAGTTCACTTCTGTGCATTTACGGGAGAGTGTATCGACTACCATGAAACTCGACTAACATTGAAGTTTTAAAAATGATAATCGTTTCAACTATCACAAAAAAAAATGAAATAATTTTTTTCACACATTTTACAATTTGCACGCAATCGGTGTTCAAGCAGTTACAAGTCCGACTGCGAATGAACACCAATTGTGTTAAGAAATTTCAATTGTTTGAATTCTCAATTTTTATTTCTCAGAAAAGCAAGTTACTATTTGGACGGATTATTATTGTTCCGATCACTAAAGTGGGGAGGAACTTGAACTTCGGGTTGCTTTCAGGTTTTTTATACTTTAAAAAAACTCCCACTTAACAACATGTAGCATAAATAACATCGGAAGGATCGAGTGATATATCACAATGAAGTTTTTAAATCGCGATTCGAGAAACATTTAAAAATTTCGAAAGTTCTCCCAGTCCAGTGTCGAGAAAAACCTGTTTGAAAAATTTTAACTTTTTGTCTTAACTCGAGCGAGTAAAGGAAGCGAGTAGGTCTTATAACAAGCCTTAATAGTCTTAATCACAATGAAGCCAAAAAATTTAGTTTTACTAACGTAAAATGATTTTATTTTTTAGAACCTAAGCTTCTTTTTAGAAATAAAAAAAATCTGCAAAAAATTAGAAAACTTAATTGGAAAGTTTTTGATTTATGAATAAAGCTTTTAAACACAGATCAAGCTAAGCATCGCACCACTTGCGATACACTAACTATAAAATGAAAGCAACATGTCAAAAATTAGCAAACAGAACTTCGAACAAGGTTACAATTGACACAGGAAGTGGAAAAACGAAAAAAAAAAATCCAAGAGGTCCTAGTGGGGTTGACAAAGGCATTTGAACATTAGAAACTTACATCGCAAGCGTAAAATAATGTAGAATATACCCAATCTAGTGTTAATATCGAACGTGCCTAAGGTCTAGGCTTCGCTCAGATCATCTAATTACACCACGACATAAAAACGCCACCATTTAAAATGGAACGACAGTTTTTTTTATTTTGATGGTCAGAATTTTCTGTGGTATTTGCACATAACCGGCTATGCTTAATGTGTATTTCTGAAAAATGAGGCTATCAAAATCATGCTGCTACATGCAATCTATTCCATGCTTTCGAATTTTTATGCTAGTCGAGCGGTCTCTATTTAGGGGAATGAACATAACACACGAGCTTTCTATAGATTTACGGTGTCTAAGGAACAAAAAATACGACAAAGACCGCAGAAGCACAAAAGTAAATCATTTTGACAAGAAAAAATTGGTCTATCCACGCCTGTATTGATCGTCTTGAAAGATGTCCATCTTGAGAAGTCACGGGCAGTCTCAAGTCTCAAATAAACATCGAAACAAAACTTACAAGATTAACTCAGCCGATAATAGCGGGGATCGCCACTTGATGAGCCGAAAAAGTTCGCATAAAAATTTGAGCTATGAAAATACTGGACTTCGAAGTTATCAATCCAACACAGACACATCAAGAAACGTGTTCGCTAGTCAAATATGAGGCGATTAGGCTGATAAAAACATCAATTAAAACCTTTCGTACAACTTTTATAAGTATATCTAAACATAGCCAACTGACAGTTGGAAAAGAGTAATGAACAAGTAAACAAAAAACACTTAGTTGAAAAAATCTCAACTTTCGAAGATCAATCAAAAAAATAGATGCCCTTTAAGCTCGTGGAATCTCTAGAACAATTTACGAGCGGCATTTTTCTGATAACGTTTGAAAAAAATTGGATCAATTGGTAAAGTTTATATTCACCTGGAAATCTATAACTTAAATTCCACTTTCGAAACTAGAAATAGTTCACGTTTTTTCGTGCCATTTCCACGTTCGTATTTGGAGAGTACTATTTACTTAACTTACAGCAGATGAATTTCAATTGAACTCAAAAAGTGCATGTATACCTAAAGGCATTCATAAATGCATTTGTATGTATGAGTGCACATCTGTAGCTATTAGAGCATTTTAAGACTTTCTCATGAATAAAAAAAATCACCAAGACCTTTAACAGAGTCTTCACTACGTTCATTACTCTTTAACATATTTTACATCCCCGCCAACGCTCAAGCGCGTTAACATATTTGTTTCGGCTTTCAAACGGCGTACTAAAAGGCAACTAAGCCAATTTAAAAACAACCGTAAACATTTAATCCGAAAAAACATTCAAATGAAAAGAAAAAACTAACAAAAAGAAACTATAAAAAATTATACTTGACATTTTTTCCAACTAAAGTTATGAATCAAAATGCTTTCAGATAATTGTAGAAACTGCTAAATCCGGAATAACGTCTCGCTTTAGAAACTAAGCCGAAAGAAACAAACAAACGAACAAATAACCAAAAATATGTTTTCCCAGAAAAAAAAAACTTTTTAGTTTAAAGAGAAAAAAACTCAGTTTAAAAAACCGTTTCCAGTCCAAATCGCAGCCAGCACCTTTGCTGTCTTGAGCAGGTGCGCAGATAATATCTGAACGGAAAATCTTAATGGTTTTACGGCAAAAATTACAACAGCCGGTTAGAATAACCTTGCTTATCGCAAGGGCTTAAGTGTTTCTCGACTTGCGCAGTTTATCATAAGAAAACCCATTTAGATACTTTTTTTAAAATTTTTTTGCCGGAGAAGCGCTAAATTAAGCTTCTAAAACTATTTCATTCAGGAAAATCTAGTTTTTTAGCCTAAGTTGCTAATTTTCATTCATAAAGAAAGGTACTCGATCGCTTAACTCGCTCGAAAATAGACGAAAAGTCAGAAACTTCAAACCGGTTTTTTCAACACCAAGAAATTTTTATTAAAAATTTAATGTCATTCGAATCACGACTAGAAGAGCTTGAAAATGATTTATCACTCGAACCTGTCCAATGATTATTTAAGGAACCTGATTTTGCGTGGAAACCAATAGTTGAAACAGAAAGAAAAAATTAAAACACACACGAATACAAAGTTCCTCCCCATTTTCAATGGTCGGAATAAAAAACTAAAACACATCCGAATACAAAATTCCTCCACATTTTTCAAATGGTGGGATCAATATTTGCAAAGTTACAATAACTACCAGAAAAGGCAAAATTTTTGTCAAGTTACTTTAATTAGAGCGCATTACGCAAACACAAACAGGGCATCTTTATTTCAAGAGTATTCAGTGCCAGACCTTGTAGCTGTTGATTTGACAAAAAATTTCTGCTCGTTCCAAGTATTTACAATTCGAGTGTCAAGAACTTTTTTCGCTCTGGTATAATTGTGGACGCATTAATTGACGATGTGCGCTTTGTATTTTTCAAAGTTTATATGATTGTCGAAACCAATGCTTCTGGCGAAAACGTAAGTCCCATTCAAATAAAAGATAAATAAGCGGCAATATTTTAAATCACATGAAGATCAACCTTAAATGTCATTGACCATAGCACCAAAAAAAACATCAGCGAAAGAGTCATCGGAATTTTAAAAGAAATTCAATGTCTAAATATCAAGCCTGACAAGCAAGAACACACGACACGACTGTATTAGACTATAGTTTACCCCACGTAGTGAATTGTCGGGATGACTTTGTCTCATCTAAATTGTAGTTTCGGGTGACTTTGCTTAGCTCCTGTATTAATAGTCCCATTTTTAGTAGGCGGAAATTTCAATTTTAATCTCAACTGCAACGATCTCGCTCGATGACAACTTTCTATTCTAATAGAAAGGATAATCAGGCAAAAGTGAAGTCGGTCTATGATTTTTAATATGACTTCTAGGTTATTTCTAGTTAAGTGAGTTGACGAAAGCGCATTCCAAATTGTTTCGCCATCAGTGTGTTGAAAGGACACAACTGACGAGCAAGTTAAAACATGGGGCAAGGTAGGTCGCACAATTCTAAAAAAACTCTTTAATGTGAAACGAATTACTCTGAGAAAAGTTTGCAAGAAAAGAGCAGATTTCGTCCTGGTCAATTAATATTTCATTTAAATTAACACAGCTATTATATTTGGTGATAGATCTCAAGAGCCATATCGAAACCTTAGTTGAAAAAGTAAAAAAATCTTGCGACTTGAGAAACTCATAATCCGCTCCTGGAGAAATTCAGAATCAGCTGAAGCTCCTTGAAATACTCAGAATCAGCTGAAGATTCATTTTGGAGCCATTCATCAACTTAAATTTTCGATCTTTGGAACTACTTTGGTAACTTTGATTTCCGCAGTAACGCAAACTTGGGCGGAGCCATAAAATTGCCAAAGCAAATTGAAATATATTTGCTCCTACCATCCTTCCATGTGGTTGATTGTGCTCGAGGTGTAGTTGAAACATAACAGATCGTTTTCTCTAGTTCAAGTAGCTGCTTTTATGAACAGCACTAAGCACAAACTCAAACCATTTCTGTTGAAAAAAAAAACTTTCTAAATTGAGCAAAATCAAGTTAGGGCTAGAGAAC